GCCATTTAACTGCCTATCTTAAAACCCATTTTAGTGTCACATTCAAGTGGAAGATAAGATAATATAAATACAGACATTTGATAAAATAAGAAGTCACAGAACCCCCAAAAATGTCGGCGATCTGAAAGCTAAACTTATGGAGTTTTTATGTTTTTTTTTAAATGAATTTGTTTTTAAGAAAACACGGACGTCATTTATAAAATCATGACGCCGGGATAATAATATTATCAGAGTAACTTGACTCTAAATACTACTTTTGTCAAATTTATTGGTATGTGGCATCTGGTTGATGCTGTCTCGTAGATATCCTTTCGTCAACGCGAACGCCATTTGTTTCTTTTCGATGTGAATGACGGATTTGCTAGCGCAAGATAAATCATGACGCGACAGATAGTTTGAAAGGAAATTAAGTCATGGAGAGAAGGGGCTGCTCGATTAAATCTTCCGTGAGATAATGGAAATAATTTGTTGAAATGAGAAATAATGATTTAAACTGAGGGGGGAGGAAAATATAAGGAAGAGAAAAGAATGAATAGTTGGCAGGGATATTATAAAGAGAGAGAGAGCGTGATGGAAAAGATAATAGATAGCGAGAAAGAAATGACGGAAGAATAGAATGAAAGAGTGAGAGGAAGGAGAACGAGGAACGAGAAGGATAGATAGGAAAAAGAGAGAGAGATAAAGAAAGGAAGAAAGAAAAGATAGAAAAAAATTAGAGAGAAATTTTTTAAATAGAAGATTGAACAAGAAATAGCGTTAAAAATTTCGAGAAAGGAAAAAGAAAAATGATCAAMATTGGAATCGAAACTGGATCGACTYCAGCTTATCAAAAATATAATCCCATAAAACATCCCACTCTAACCAAACCACCGACGTTAACCTAACCTTGCTGTTAAAAAAGTGCTTGATTTTGATGGCTGAATGGACTTGCGGGAACTAAAAGTGCAAAGTTAAAGAAGAGAAAAATACAGAAAGAGCGTCAAGAGAATTGTTCATCTATCAAAAAACACATTTAGGGCAGGCAGAGACACGCTACTAGGAACACCTGTTTACGCGACGCAGTCGGTTGATCATGAAACGCGTTACAAATACACAAAGTAAATTCATTCATTCATCCATCCATCCAT